CAATAATAGCGTTCTTTTCTTTGCTGAGCTACTAAGACTTCCTGCCTTGGTTTTCTGAAATAATTTTTTTTCCCCTGCTGACTTCTAGATCTGTCCCAGTCTTTAACTAGTATGCTATGTGTTTTCAAACCCCGTGGGAATAATGATCTATAGAAGACATGGTATTATACATTAAGAATATCAAGACTGCTAGTTGAATCTTCAAAAAATTGTCTGAAATCAACTATTAAAAATTGAAAAAATACTATGAAGACAAAGGGTCATATTACAGATGTTAAGACATGCTAGAACAAGTGCTAGCTTATGTCAATTATTCACTTGTATATCACTGTATAATTATCTAACAAACCTATGATATTTCAAATGACATTTTGTTTTGTTTAAAGGAGGCTCTAAAAAAATAAATAAATAAAGGAGGCTCTATGCCCAATGCAGGGCTTAAACTCATGACCCCAACATTAAGATTGCAAGCCCTACCAACTGAGCCAGCCAGGTTTTAATCTTGAGGATAAACAATGGCAATTTATAACAACACACTTATGGTTAGATTAAACTACAGAAATCAGTAGAGAACTGACAAATTGGTAACGGTATACTCTAAGACAGTGTGCCTCAATTTTTAATGTGCATACATATCACACCTGACAATCCTATTCAAGTGCAGATTATGATTTAGTAGGTCTGGCCTGATTCTTGCATTCTTCGCAAGCTCTCAGGTGATGGATCACATTTGTGGTAGCAAGGATCAAAGGGACACTACTGCCAGAGCTAGGCAGGCTCCTCACCAAATAGTATCTTAATTAGGTAACAGGATCTGGCCCTTTACTCTGAAAGAGCAGAGACTTGCTTGATCTCATCAATGCCCTGAGAGACACCGAATCACACTAAAAGGCACATGAAGGCCAACATGTTCATTTTTGAGCATGAATTATAACTGTATACAGACTAGAACATGGGTATTTCTCATTGTAGGCACCTCCAGTGCCTCAAACTAATCCCCCTTTGATAATGTACAAAGATGGGGTTTCTGGACCTGCAAAGCTTAAGGATTAGGCCCCAGACAATGGCAATATCATCCAGGCAGTATCACTCTATGAGGCGCACCTGACTGGCCAGCTGACATCACCATGTGACATCTCGATCAGCTATCTCTACTTACAACGAGCCGGAAAGCCAACCCCGTACAAATAAACAAGTAATGAAAACACAATGGAAGTGAAATCTAAAAATGAGGACACAAGAATTTAGGTTTTTCCTATTTGTTTTGTTTTTAAGAGCAATACTCCAATGACCCACCAACAAGGGAAGAATAAATCCATGAGAGCACTAGTCTATTTCCCTCACCATGGTATTTCTAAGACCTAGAAGCATCTCTGACCCACCCAATAAATATTTACTGGGTGAATGAACAAATGAGTATTTAAGGAGAGTGGGTGTTAATTTCTTTGGTATTTACATCTTAGTACCAAGGATTCCAGGGAACTAGAGAGAGCTATTCTTAATTATTTCAACAACATTTAGGCCAGGCTGGCTGTAAACATGATCTGATTTCCTGAAGACAATGAACATATCTCTCTAGCCTTTAACTTATTTAAACAGTAGGAGTTAGAGACTACCCATGCATTCCTGCACAGCACTTCCTTTTCTGTAAAGACAGAGGGTAGGGCCTAAACTTAACCACAAGAAGAGAAACTGCCACATGATGGCAGTTGTTTTTGACAGAATAACAAAGTATTTTTACTCTTCTCCCTTCTAGATTTTCATAGGCATGGTTTCTTAACATGAGACAAATTTCGTGAGAGACTTTTAAAGTGTAAGAAACAAAAGCAAAGACTAAAAGGATGCCAAGTGCTTGAAAGAGTTAAACAGTTTCCATACAACCCAGCAATTCCTAAGTATATACTAAAAGAACTGACAACATATCCACATAAAAACTTGTAAATGAATGTTCACAGCAACATTATTTATAAGAGCCAAAAAATGAAAGTAATCCAAGTGTCTATCAATTGATGAATGTATAAATTAAATGTGGTATATCCATGCAACAAATATTACTCAGCCATAAAAAGAATTGAAGTGCTGATACATGCTACCACATGGATGAATCTTGAAAACATGCTAAGTCGAAGAAGCCAGTCACAAGGGACCACATATTATATGATTCTATTTATACAAAATGTCCAGAATAGGCAAATCCAAATAGAGAAAGTAGTTTAGTGGTTGTCGGTATGGGATTTCTTTTTGGGGTGATGAAATGTTCTGGAATTAGGTAGTAGTGATGGTTGCACAACTTTGTGAATATACTGAAATATGGGGCACCTGGGTGGCTCAGTCGTTAAGCGTCTGCCTTCGGCTCAGGTCATGATCCCAGGGTTCTGGGATCGAGCCCCGCATCGGGCTCCCTGCTCAGTGGGAAGCCTGCTTCTCCCTCTCCCACTTCTGTGTCCCCTCTCTCACTGTGTCTCTCTCTATCAAATAAATAAATAAAATCTTAAAAAAAAGGAATATACTAAAAAATGCTGAATTGCACATTTTAAGGCATGAATTTTATGGTATGTAAATTATATATCAATAAAAAAATCATATGCCAAAAGGAAATAAAATCAGCGAGTAAAAAATATACACAAAGGGGAGCATCTCTCCTCTCTGCTCATCCTTCCCCCATGCAAAATCTTTGACTAAAAAGCCAAATAGTAGTTATTCTGAAAATGACTGGAACCCTAAAAATATCCTAACCACCAAACAAAAGCAGCTGCTTATTTTGATAACATTCTTGTAACATGGACCTTCCTTAGCATCCAAGCTGACAGAGGACTTATTCTACAAACCCAAATGTATAAAATCCACTAGAATTAGCTTTGAGGAGAGACGCCTTGTAACTGGCACAAAACACAATCCAGTTCACAAAAGAGAACTACGCTATTAGTCTAATCAGAAGGCAATGTCATCAGGGACCTAACTGTGATGGATGTTCTCTTGGTGTTTTCTGTCTCAAGCCTGAGACAATGGGCCTCAAAAGCAAAACAAAAACCCATACTGAATTACACTAACTTATAGGAAAGTATGTCCTGTATTTACATTATTGGATATAAAATTTAAAATACAGGTCTAGAAACTGAATTCTAAGCCATTCAGAATGCAATCATACTAAATTTGTTAAGTGAATTCAAAATTAACACAAGAAATTAGTAAGTACTACTCTCAGGTGCTAAACTCATTCATTTAGTGTCAACTTTGTTTCTTAGTTGCAGATGCAGTTAAATAAACCTGCTCATATGGAAGATATCTTAACTGGCTGAAACATTAATCATATAATAAGAGATAGTTTAATCTCTTTCGAAACAATGTCCTAGATTTAGAACTTCTATTTCAAAACAGCAGAAGGAATAATGCAGAGGTTTTCAAATTGAAATCAAGATGAATGCATTGGAAGGCCATGAAAAGCATTCATCAAACTGGATAACCATATCTAGATTTTGCTCCCAGTTTTGCTACTAGACTACAGAATAATGCCTGGCCTACAGGAGCTCTACAAGGTTTTCAAAATATAGAAAACTCAGAGCATGCCAAGTATTCTTTTTTTTTTTTTAAGATGTTATTTATTTATTTATTAAAGAGCGAGAGAGCGAGAGAGAGAGAGAGAGAGAGAGAGAGAAACAGCATGAGAGGGGAGAGGGTCAGAGGGAGAAGCAGGCTCCCCGCTGAGCTGGGAGCCCCATGTGGGACTCAATCCCAGGTCTCTGGGATCATGAACTGAGCCGAAGGCAGTCGCTTAACCAACTGAGCCACCGAGGTGCCCGTCAAGTATTCTTAATGGTGAAAATATCCAAAGGTACTGTTTTCACAGCACTATTCTACCAGTTGTACATTTTCAGATTCTGTGCTGCATGGGAGTTACTAGAACGACAATATAGATTACTATCAAGTGTGGGTGCTTGGCTGGCTCAGTTGGAAGAGCATGCAACTCTTGATCTCGGTGTCATGAGTTCCAACCCTACACTGGGTATAGAGATTACATAAAAATAAAATCTAAAAAAAAAAAAAAGATTAAGTGTGATATAGAAAAATCCCACTCACTCCAATGATTCCAGTCAGATGAAACCAAACTCGTTCAAAAAGCATTTATGAAGATCCTGTGTTAATAACTGCTTGAGGATTATCTGTCCCATTACACACTGGCAGTGGGTTATATCTTTTTTCTGTATATGTTCCAGGGTGTTCCTATATCTTTGATAACCATGTCCCCATAGGACAGATAATGCTGTCATTTGAAAGTATAGTTAGCTTTTCCTTTCAGCACTCCTTTCTTTAAATCTTTTTCCATTTCCTCACACTTTTGTATCCTATCCCTCAAGTATTTCAATTTCCTTCTTTTGCCCTTCCAACACAACTCCACCTTAAAAATTCTAAGCCATCTAGAATAGGGTTATGTTAAATGGTTTTTTTTTAATGCATTCAAGATTATATGAGATATTAAATACTACTCTCAGGCATTAATCCCATTCATTTAGTGTTAACTCTATTGCTTCTCAATTACCCTGTCTCTGTCTCTTTAGCCCTCCCCTTCCAATATCCCATTCAGGCTCTCTAAAATCAGTCTCCATCCCCAAGGCAGGTTTTCCCAAAGAATCTCCACCTCCCCCAACTCTCCCCAGTCCTCAGTGCCCTCTGTGACGACGCCCTCGGTTTTTGCTCTGTTCGGTCGCTCTCCCCAACCTCCACCCCAATCCCGATCACCGCCCCACACAGTTTAGGGAACGCCCCCTCACACTCTCCCTCGATCCCCCAAACTTGTCTCTTCGCCTTAAGACCTCTCCACCCCCACTCCCCCCAGCCAGCACCCACCTCCTTAGTTCCCAGACCCTGCTGGGTCTCCCTGCACCTTCAGAGCCTCCTCCCTTCTTCCGCCCCTCGCAGCCCTCGGAGCCCTCCACCCACCCGCCGGGCACCCCGCGCCCTCCCCGGGGCCCTCAGCGCCCCTGCGGGCGCGGCCCTCCGACCTGCCTCCGCGCCTCCCGCAGCCCCTGCAGCCTCTGGCCCAGCTCCCGCCGGTAGCTCTGCGCCGCCTCCACGTTCTCCCGGGCCTCCTGCAGCAGCAGCTCGGGCTCCAGCTCCATCGCCCTCTCGTCCGGCCGCACGGCCGGCGGCTGCGGGCGCGGTTTCCCCACAGTCCCGGGCGCCGGCGAGCGGCCCGGTTCGACCACGCGCAGGCGGAAGCACCGCCCCGCCCCGCCCTACGCCGCCTTGATTGACAGCCGCACCGGCACCCGGTACGACCCGCCTCCGGATCCCAGCGCCGCCCGCCCCCACGTCCATGCGGCCGTGGCCCGGTTTCCGCGCAGCGCCCGATCTCAGTGCTTCTTCCAGAGACGCGTGGGGTCGGGGAAAGATTAGTAACTACACCTTGCGGAGTGCTTCTCCCATCTTGCTCATTCGGGCCTCACTACCGGCCTCCCTTGCTGTTCCATTTCACGGAGGAGGAAACGGGCAGAGAGGGGAATCAACTTTCTCAAGCCGTCGGTATTTCAACCCAGATGGCTCTTAAATCGTCACTGTCCCACCTCCCTAGCAAAGGAGAATCCCCGCTGCGGCAGGCGTTTCAAAAGGTTACTGTGAAGCAGGCACCACGCTCAGAGGGTCAGACGAGAGCACACCACTCAGAAGCTCGCAGTCTAATGAGGGAGCCAGGACAATGACCTGCGGTAGGTACAGCATCTAGGCAGAAGTCCAAGGTGGGTGTTAGCAAGCTTTCTCTGTAAGGGGCAAGCAGTAAAACTTGGGAGCTTGGTGGGCCATCAAGTCTCAGTTGCAACGTCGGAGGTAAATGGGCGTGACCGTGTGCAAATAAACCTTATGTTTACAGATTTGAACTTCACATAATTTTCACCTGTTACAAAATGTTCTTTGCATCCTTTTAAAGCTATTTAAAAATAAAAAATCTGGGTGCCTGGGTGGCCCAGTCAGTTAAGCGGCTGACTCTTGATTTCGCTCTGGTCAAGATCTCAAGGTGGTGAGATCCGGGCCGGTGTCCTCCTTGGGCTGAGCGTGGAGCCTGCTTAAGATTTTCTCTCTCCCTCTTCCTCTACCCCTTCCCTCCTCTGCGCGCGCGCTCTCTCTCTCCCTCTCTAAAAGAAATAAATAAATGAAAATAAAAATCGTTCTTCCCTGAAGGGCCATTCAGAAATAGGTGGTGAGTCTGGGGCTCCTGGGTGGCTTAGTCGGCTAAGCAAGCGCCAGACTCTTGATTTCAGCTCAGGTAATGATCATTAGATGGAGCCCTGCAAGGGGCGCTCAGTGGGAGTCCGTTTGAGATTCCCTCTTTCACTTCCTCTGTCCCTCCCGCCACTTGTGCTGTCTCTCTAGCTCTCTCTCTAATAAATAAAATCTTAAAAAAAAAAAAAATAGGTGGTGGGTCAGATTTGGCTTGGGTGGTAGTTTCCTGACTCCTGGCCAAGGATATTAGAGCTGAAAGTAGCCTCTGCCAGGAAGCAGAGGGAACATGTTTTGCTAAAGGTTACACAACCAGTCTGTAATAAAAGCTAGATTGCAGTTTTCCTGGGCTGGAATAAAGCTATCTTGACCACCCTGTTTTGTGCTAAGTAAATGACACTTGGACCTGGAGAAATTTAGAAAAGGGAAGCCCTACTGGAGAAAATGGGAAATTAGCTTATCTTGAAGGTAAGGTAGCTGGGCACTTAGTAAATACTCAACAAATACCTGTAGAATAAATCTAGGTATTAGCTAAACAAAAGGGCTGTGGAAATGCACCCTAGGTAGGACAAAACTAAGGAAAGGGATAGGTCTTGGAAGTAGGAATGTAAGTGGTTCTTTAAGAAAGAACCACTCAAGGACGCCTGGGTGGCTCGAGTCCCCGAGTCCCGCATCGGGCTCCCTGCTCGGCGGGGAGCCTGCTTCTCCCTCTGACCCTCCCCCCTCTCATGTGCTCTCTGTCTCTCTCATTCTCTCTGTCTCAAATAAATAAATAAAATCTTTAAAAAAAAAAAAAAAGAAAGAAAGAACCACTCGGAGAGGTGGAACTGAATAATATTCTGAGAGATGAAGTTGAGGAAGAATAAGGGCCATGGAGTTCAGGTTAAGAAGTTTTGACTTTAATGAGTAGACACTAAAGGTTTTTGCAAGTGCAGTGACATTTGCAAAGCAATGTTTTAGGAAGATAAATGATAGGCATGACACTTTGGTGTGTCTAAAGATAAAGTAGGGAAACGGGTGCCTGGGTGGCTCAGTCGGTTAAGCATCCGACTCTTGGTTTCCACTCAGGTCATGATCTCAGGGTCTTGAGATCAAGCCTCACATGGGCTCCATGCCCAGCACGGAGTCTGCTTGTCCCTCTCCCTCTGCTGCTCCCCCTACCCACACACACACACTCTCTCTCTCAAATAAATAAATAAAATCTTAAAAATAAAGTAGGGGTTGGCAATAGTAAGTTCTCAATAAATATTTGTTCAGTGAAATGAAAATACATGGGATAGCTGGATGGAGTGGTAAATAAGGAACAACCATGGGCATTAGTCCAGCTATGATATGATAGAGGCTTGAATTAGGATGTTGACCTTTACAGAGGTTTTGACAGTAAAGCAGAGGAAAAGATAGTCAAATAGTCCAAGGAAATAGGAGGGTTTAGGCACAGATTGAGTCAGTAAAAAAATGATTTACTCTTTCCACCCTAACTTTCTAATACACAAGAAGAAAGGCTTGTGCTTTATTATTCTAAGGTAAACCTAGTTCCAAAATTATGTTACATAGGCTTTATTTTCATAAGATATTACACCTTTTATATAACTTCTGTATTTTCCTAAATTTTTAATCATTTTAGGGTTTTTTCCTAAGTAGTATTTATAAAATGAAATTCAATACTTTATTTCAGGTGTGGTATGGTCAGAGAGAACACATGGGAGAAAAGAAATAACAGTTATTCTTTTTTTTTTTTTAAGATTTTATTTATTTATTTGACAGAGAGACAGCGAGAGAGGGAACGCAGGCGGGGGGAGTGGGAGGGGGGGGGCGGGCTTCCCGCGGAGAGGGGAGCCCGATGCGGGGCTCGATCCCGGAACGCTGGGATCGTGACCTGAGCTGAAGGCAGACTCAACCGACGGAGCCACCCAGGTGCCCCGAAACAACAGTTATTCTTAAATATAGATTTGCTTGTCATTTCTTGCGTGACTTTTTTTCTTTTAGCAAAATCTCCTTTTATTCATGAAAAGACAATTCTAATTTCAAAAGAGCATGGTACCATAATCCTAGCAACCCAAGAATTTACAATTTCCTCCACAATTTCTCACCTGCTAAGGTAATCAGCATATGTTTCTCTGTACTTCCCAATCAGTTGATTAAAATATTTAACAGTATTTGACCTATATTAGACAGCATTATATTCATTTGCTATCTCCTAATGTGATTTTGTATAATTATCATTTATTTCAGTAATTCATTATCTTTTCCACAGAATTTGCTTATATCTAAACCTATAACTCATCTGACTTTTATAGTGAAAGAAATTCCCTTCAATAAAATTTATACTGACATGAAAAAAAAAAAGATTTACTAAGTGTTCTTTTTTTTTTTAAGATTTTATTTATTTATTTATTTGAGAGAGAATGAGAGAGAGCACATGAGAGGGGAGAGGGTCAGAGGGAGAAGCAGACTCCCCACGCTGAGCAGGGAGCCCAGACGTGGAACTTGATCCTGGGGTTCCAGGATCATGACCTGAGTCGAAGGCAGTCCTTTAACCAACTGAGCCACCCAGGCGCCCCTGGATTTACTAAATGTTCTTTTTTTTTTTTAAAGATTTTATTTATTTTTTTGACAAAGAGAGAGAGCACAAGCAGAGGGAGTGACAAGCAGAGGCAGAGGGAGAAGCAGGCTCCCCACAGAGCAGGGGGAGCCCGATGTGGGACTCGATCCCAGGACCCCGGGATCATGACCCGAGCCAAAGGCAGTCGCTTAACCAACCAAGCCACCCAGGCGCCCATGGATTTACTAAATGTTCTTGAACACAGTATGTTCTCTGTGCTTTCTAAAGCTAATTGAATAGAATTGGATCCCACCCCGGAAGACTTTACTATGTGAAACTTCAAAAAAAAGAGAGAAAGAAAAATTGGGGGTGCCTGGCTGGCTCAGTCAGAGGAGCCAGGGTCATGAGTTGGAGCCCCATGTTGGGTGTAGAGATTACTTAAACAAACAAACAAACAAACTGAGGTGCCTGAGTGACTCAGTTGGTTAAGCCTCCCGCTCCTGATTTTGTCTCAGGTCATGATCTCAGGGTCCTGGGATTGAGCCCCACATCAGGCTCCTTGCTCAGTGGGTAATCTTGAGGATTCTCTTCCTTTGTCCCTTCCTCTCCAACCGCCCCTCCCCACTCAGGCTTGCACTCTCTCTAAAAATAAATCTTCTTAAAAATAAATATACTTTAGGGGCGCCTGGGTGGTTCAGTCGTTAAGCATCTGCCTTCTGCTCAGGTCATGATCCCAGGGTCCTGGCATCGAGCCCCGCATCGGGCTCCCTGCTCTGGGGGAAGCCTACCTTTCCCTCTCCCACTCCCCCTGCTTGTGTTCCCTCTCTCACTGTGTCTCTCTCTGTCAAATAAATAAATAAAAGCTTTAAAAAAATAATAATAATAAACAAATAAACTTAGAAAAAACAAAAATTAAAAGGAAAACATCCATAAGACCAAGACACTAATTTTGGTCTCATTCAACTTTATTTCCTTGACCTGATGGGAGGCAGGAAATAATGTATTTAATATAGCCACATTATACAGAAAAATAATACAAAGAAAACTGAAGAAGATCTTGTGAAACCGCCCCTCCCAGGCTTAAAATTTGGGGATGTTTTATTTTCAACTTTAGAGCAAAGTAAATACTCTGGTCAGTAACCGGAGGATTGATCTAGAGGTGTCAATGATAGAAGCCAGCAGGCAGAGTTTTACACATTTTTATCTCCTTCGCATCACACTGGTCTAGAATTGACTTTTCAAGTTTACCCAGAGGTGAGCAGATTCAGGGTCAGACTCCTCGTGCTAATAAGACAAGAAACAAATAAAGCAACTTGCTAAGTTATTTATTTACAATAAGGATATAATTGCTCCGAAGATTACAACAGCTGGAAAATCAGGTCATAACCAGAGAGTTGTTTGGCAAACATGGATTCAGTCCAGAATACTTTGGTTATCTGGTCAGCCAAGGCTTCCTCTCCCCTCTCTCC